TATATTTACATATCGAATTATCGTAAATTATCGTACAAGTTAGATTTACGATCATACAATGCTTCAAATTATGTGACGTGTACGATAATTATCGTACGAATGAGATCACTGTTAAATAAAATAAATTACGAGGTTAAGTAATGTTATTGTCACTTCTTTCTTCAAACAGTTTATTTTGTTTTTTTTAATACCAATCTGAATAATTAAAAATCATAGGCAGAGAAAAGAGTTCTTCTCTTTTTTGTTGCTAATCCTGGGTAAAACCCTTTATAACACGACTTTTTCGAGTGTCGAGCAGAGTACATGTATGTGTGTTGACAGTGCCATTGACGGAAAGCGCTTTTTCGAACACTGCGTTACACAGTGTCGCTTTTTGGTGTAATTGGAAAGCAACGAGTGTCGTGGTTACATTACTCCGATATCAATAAATTCTAGTAAAATGCATCCACCAATCGTGAATCAGAAGAAATAAAATTCATTTCATTTTGTCTATGACGAACGACTCCAGTGCCATTTAGTGAAATTACGATTAAACATTTAGTTAAAAAGATTTATTTCTATTCCATGAGTGAACAAGACAATTAAAAAGATTTTAATTAAAATATTAATTAAAGCCATTGAAATACAAAATGAAACATAATATATCTTTTCTTACATAAAGGTATTAATAATTAAAAGTTAAAAGAATATGATTGTATCGTTACGTCTATGGCGTACGATTGTAATGCCATCTATTGAGATCAGGACAAGACAACTAGATTGAAGAGATCCTATAATTTGTTGTGCGGAAAGTATTGAAAGCAATCATTTTTTTGTTTGCATTCACATTTGACGGTTAAAGCTAAGATTACGTATGTTTGAAAATTGACTGTTAAATATTTAGTGGCTATTCAGCCTCAAGTATAGTCATTAATCCAAAGTAATCATTAATATTTCTTTTTCATTAGCTAATCGTATGAAACAAACTATATAAGGAAATATAAAACGAATTTACTGAATAATCTAAAGAGCTGTGTGAAGGGACCTTTTTTAACGTCTTCTCAAAAGGTGAGTTCAAATTACAAAAAAAAAACGTTATATATCATTCATTGCGTTTTCTTAATTCATTCTCATTCATACAAATTTGATCGTAGAAAAATGGCAATTATATAAATTTAAAACGTAAAAACATTGTTTAATATTATTCAATGATATTAAACAATTTTTTACACGAATAAATTTCAGATTAATCTCTTTAATATACTAACATTAAACTAATTCATTCAATTTACTTCGATTTGTAGTTGTCTTTGCTATTTTGAACTCTATAACAATTTTGAAATATTTCCATAAAGTATAATCTAACGTTAATTGATTTTTATACACAGTTACTTTTTTTTCTTCTTCATGGTTCTGAAGAAGAAGAAGAAGAAGAAGACACAGTTACATGTATATTGACAAATAATTATTTTATATTATTCATTGAAAATATAATTATTTTATGCTTAATTAAAATGAAGATAAAATTATGATTGTCAATGAATGATGAATACAGAAAATTATATTTATTTACTTTTACACGTATTTCATTATTAGAGATAAATACATTCTGTTAAGCAAGAATAAATTTTATATGTTACAAATATGTTGAATTGATTTTAAGTTAAACATTTAGAAAGTTAACATTGCAAAAATATTTATTCCTAAAATTACATTAATGGTTCTAATAAACAATATTTCAGTTTCAGTTAGTTACTATTTTATTTTTGGTTTATCATTTTGAAGTGTGGTTAACGTTTAATATTTGTATTCATTGATATCTTTACGTGTTTGCTATCAATGTTGCATATCTGTGATGCACTGATTTTCATTGAGATCCCAGCATCAAACATTTGTGACAGTACTTAATGCAAAAAATAAATCTAGTCTATGATCAAAATCTATTCTCCGCTGCATGGTAGCAAACGTGTTGGAGAAACAGACCTTATTATAAACTTTTAATATTCATTGCGTATTCGACTTATTGTCAAAATATGATGATCTATTATCTTATTTTAATTGCATTTTTCTACTTTATTATACTAAATGCTAGTATCACTGCTTTGCAAGTATTAAATCTACTGGAAAATTCTGTCCGTTCTGACAAACACCGGTTCAATTTTTCCTCTCTAAGGATAAGACATTTTAAAAAAATGCAATATACAAATTGTCATCACGCTATGGTAATGAGTTATAAATAATGATGATAATTGTATTATTCAATAAATATTAGTCAATTCAAGATATATATTAGCGCGCCTTCCATAATAGAATCGTTAGATTAGTGAACTGAGAAACATAGGTGGGGATAAGAGCAAAGACTAGAAGAGGAACGAGGCAGTCTAAGAAGAAAGACCAATAAGAAAAGACAGATAGATAGATAGATAGAATATTATAATAGACAGAAAGAATAAACTTAAATTGTTGTTTCTCTTATTCACAGCAACACAATTTGGTTTTTTATATAGTAGAAAAAAATTTAACCGTCCTTTTCAAAACAATAATTTGAACGAGTAACGTTCTCTTACATATATATATATATATATATATTTATTTATTTATTTATTTAAAAATTGAATAAATATCATAAAATAAAATACATTTAAAAATTTATCAATAAATATTTTTTTTTATTAAAATTTCTTGATAAATTAAATACTCTTTGTATCTTAGAACTATATGAGTCATTAGCAAGTCAAAATGATTGACTGTAACACAATGTTACCAATTTTTTTTACTTTTTCTTTTGTGGAGCTAATCAATTTGACAAATTAATGAACTTATTTATTTGAAAGACAGAATTAACAAAATGATCTTTATTTCTAAACAATTGGATGCAAATATTACATTGATACTAAATATTGTTATATACTTAATATTTTAGAACAATTAACATTTTATGATAAATTCAAAACCTTAATCATATGTTGATTGTTTCTTCTGTATCCCTTAACCTTAATTTTTCTTTTTTCATTTCAATTATTATTATTTAAATCTAACATAGTATTACTTTCGTTTTAATAGTTTGGATAGTATATTACAAAAATTATTTCACATATATAAATTTCTTAAATAACAAATGCATACAGAAACCATGCAAGAAAGTAATCCCTCTTCTCCTTCACCCGTTCCTTTCCTCCTTGCTTTTCAATACTTTACTGCGCAGATCGATTACTTTAGTATACATATTCATAAAAATTGCAAAGATAACGTGCATGAGATCCTTTAAATAGAATCAAACTTCTATTCGGTTATTGAAAGTCAAATAAAAGACAAAAAAAAATGAATCAGTAAAGAAATAAAACATTTATTGAACAAAGACTTAATGATTTCAGTTGGCAGTATATCCCCTTCCATCAATGCTTTCTATTCAATTCTTCAATATCATTAGTACAGATATTTTTCAGCGCCATTTTTGAATTATATATATATATATATATATTATACAGGCACATTGAATTTTGTTTTAAATATAATTATTACAGAATAACGATGATCATATTTGTTGTAGAAGAAAAAAATTGAATTTTTAAATGATTTACATTTGAGTTTGTACAATAGATAATAATATTTTCATTCTATAGGTTAAAATTTCATCGATTACGAAAAGTTTAAGTTTCTTTACTTGTTCTTAATAATTATTTTTCCTATAAAGAATTAGTTTTGTAATAATATAATATTTGTGAGTTTTTTTTTTTTTATTTCCACGTGCAGCATTGCATTTTTTTAGTACGGTTGCGTGAATAATCATGTGACCACGTTATATCTCGCTACTGCGTGATTCAGGGAAGAATCCTTATTGAAAATACCACAAAGAAATATGATATCTATAGTATATATGACATGTACTAGTCATTAGTTGTTAAGATGAATATTTATTATATGTGAATTTTGGTTGTCTTTGAAATTGTTTAAATTGATATTTTGATTATTCAATCAGGTCCCAAAATATGGAGCAAGATACAGAATATGTGAAATTGCCATTAGAAGAACGCTGTGTACATAAGGTATTGTTGTGATCATTTATTTTTATTAATAGTTTGTGATATTAACTGCATTTTTATTAATTTAATTGGTTTTTTTTTTTTATTAATTGTTTATTTTATTTTTCTTATTTATAGTCATGGAGGGCAAGATTACATGGATATGAAGAATGTGTAAAAACATTTCAATGCATAGATGATGAAAAATCGCCTGAATGGAATAAGTTTTTAGGCTTCGTTAAGAAATTTGTATCGGATAGCAATGCTGCGGCACAAGAGAAAGGTTTAGAAGCTGTGCTAGCTTTTGTGGAAAATGCGGCTGTTGCTGGAAAGTGAGTTACAAATTTGTAAATATATTTAAATTAAAACAATTTAAAATTAATCTAAAGAAAGATTCAATATTAATCTGTAAACTTAAAATCATTTATTTCTTTTATTTTCACTTTGTATTATTATATTCCTTTAGAACGGTTGGTGAAGTTATGAATGGAATAGTGACTAAATGTATCGCTGCACCCAAAGCTAAAACGAAAGATTTAGCAGTACAAATAACATTAATGTATATAGAAATAGAAAAACATGAAACAGTACAAGAAGAATTACTTAAAGGGACGGAGGCAAAAAATCCTAAAATTGTATCTGCCTGTATTGCCGCTTTGACTCTTAGTCTAAGGTAAATCATAAATTATATTCTAAATTCAAAATATTGTTCCATGATACATCTCTATGATACTTTTATTTTTTATCAAATGTGAATCTTTTTTTTATAGCGAATTTGGATCAAAAGTTATTAATGTCAAGCCTCTGATAAAGAAAATTCCTAGTTTTTTAGAAGATAGAGATAAAACAGTTAGAGAAGAAGGTAAAGCATTGGTCATTGAAATGTACAGGTAAGTAGAAAAATAAATATAATTTTTATATACAATGTGTCAGAGGCTTTTTTAATCAAATAATATCAGCACATTTTATTCGCAAATATTATATTAGTATAGGTTATTTAAAGCTTTTCAATTATAAATGTTCACATTAACTGAAGAATAGTATATATTGACATTATTTGGCCGAAGAAACTTTAGACATGCCCTACACATTATACACGTTATTTTAATAATACTTATACGTTTATGAAATAATAATACAGATGGATAGGCGTTCCATTGAAGCAGCAATTAAATACCTTAAAACCAGTACACATTACAGAATTAGAGACGGAATTTAATAATTTAGGAAATGAAAAAGCTGTACCTAAACGTTACTTGAAGTCACAAAAACCGAAAACAACATGTGTTGTTGATCCAATAATGGGTGACGATAGTGAAGGTAAGTTATTAATTTTTTGTAAATCTTGTCAAGTTATACATGATGGATATTTTTATAGGCGAGAAGGAAGAAATTGATAGAGATATAGCATCAGACATAGATCCGTATGAATTATTAGATCCTGTTGATATACTTTCTAAATTACCTAAGGACTTCTATGAAAAATTAGAAGCTAAGAAATGGCTAGAAAGGAAAGAAGCCTTGGAAATTTTGGAGAAACTTGTATCAAATCCAAAATTAGAAAGTGGTGATTATGGAGAAGTAGTTAAAGCCTTGAAAAGGGTATATATATATACATACATTTATTATTAATATTAGTTGGCATTAGGAACTCGAAAGTTCATTGTCACAAATACCAAATCCCGCCATTGTTCCCGTCCTTGAGCGCGATCCTTCCATTCACGGTCTTCATATCCTATTTCTTTCAGATCCTTTCTAATATTGTCCTCCCATCTACGTCTCGGTCTACCTAGTGGTCTTTTCTCGTTCGGTATACCGACCAATATTTTATGCGCGCCACGTGACCAGCCCATCTTAATCGGCGTGATTTTATGACGTTAATAATGTCCGGTTTGTTGTACAATCGATGTACTTCTACGTTATGGAGTAGAATTCGCCACTCGCCTGTTTCCTCATCGCCTTTTGCACCGAAAATTTTACGAAGAACTTCGTTTTCGAAAACCCTAAATTTCTTTTCGTCCTGTAACGTAAGCGACCACGTTTCGCAACCATAAAGGACTACCGGCAGGATGATATTTTTCTGTATATCTTGATTTTTAATCGCCTAGATAGTAACCGTGAGCTGAGTAATTTATTAACCGGTAAAAGCATGCATTGTCTAAATTTATTCTTTTTTTAAGTTCTTCGTTAATTTCGTTTGTCTGGTTTATGATCGATCCTAAGTACCTAAAGTTACTGACCCGTTTAAACATTTTATCCTGGACGACTAAAGTTCCAATATTAGGCATATTCTGAACTCCATCGGTGACCATATATTTGGTTTTTTCCACGCTTATTTGTAACTGCAGATTTTTTATATTATCTATTAGTAATTTCGCGTTAATAATTAATGACTTTTTTGCAGTTCTTTGACAGCAAATTCCAGTACAAAATTATATACATATACATTTAAACGATATTATTTTTTATTAAACTTTCTTATAATTGTAATTTCTATACAATGACTATATTTATTTATAGGTAATATCCAAAGATACCAATGTGTTGGTCGTTGCATTAGCAGGAAAATGTCTAACTGGCTTAGCTACAGGTTTAAGAAAACGATTTCAATCTTATGCAACATCGTGTCTGGCTGCTATTTTGGAGAAATTTCGAGAAAAAAAGCAAAACGTTGTACAAGCTCTCCGAGAAGCTGCTGATGCAATTTTTGGCAGCGTAAGTGTTTATTTCTTATTAGAATAATAACTTGAAAATAATATATTGGTATGTATTAGGTTACAATTGATCTTATATTGGAGGATTCACTCGCTGCGTTAGAAAATAAAAATCCAGCAGTAAAAGCAGAAACTGCTGCTTATTTAGCAAGATGTTTCGCTTGTACTCCTCCATCGAGTTTAAATAAAAAATTATTAAAAGCATATACAACAGCACTTTTAAAAACATTGAATGAACCAGGTATATAATACAGCTATTATTTAATTTGTATTTACTAATTATAATTAAATTTTAAAATAATTTCTAATATTTTCTTATAAATGATATAATTTTTAGATCCTACTGTTAGGGACAATTCAGCAGAAGCGATTGCGACAGCAATGAAATTAGTTGGAGAAAAAGCCATGATGCCATTTTTGACGGACATAGATAATTTAAAAATGGCTAAGGTATATATCTATTTAATTTATTACATTAATTTTTAAAAGAAACAAATGTAAATTAAATTTTAAATAATTACTGAAATTATTTTTATTTTACATTTCTTAGATTAAAGAATGCGCAGAAAAAGTTGTAATAGTAGTTAAACTTCCACCTGCCCAAAAGTCTTCAAAACCTAGACCAAAAACAGCACCAGCTAAAGTAGAGCAAAATACAAAAGCAAAAGAAAATGAAACTAAACCAATGAAAAGATCTAATACTACAACTAAACAAGGTTTATCGAGAAAACCAATTTCTTCTTCTTCGACAAATTTAGGTAAATATAATATCTACGATGAACATATTCTTTTATAAACATATATAATATTTATATATATAATTTTTTTATTATAGCTTCGAAAAAATCTTCAAATATGAAAATAGAAAAAGATTACAGTACTGAAGAAATAGAAGAAATTGCTTCACAAATTTTACCAAATGAAGTTATTTCGGGACTTGTAGATAGTAACTGGAAAACTCGATTGTCTGCTGTTGAACAACTTTCTCAGGTACTACAAATAAAAAAACCATTTCATTTTCTTATATGAAATTTGAAGAGATAATTCTTTGACTGAGAAATGGATAATCTTTCGCTGGACGCATTTACGCGTTTATAGTAGTGAAAGAAATAAGTAAAAAATTGAAACCTTTTGTTTCTTATAGATTGTAAAGGATTTGGAGCCAACAGATGTATCTACACAAGTCATTGTAAGAACATTGGCAAAAAAATCTGGCCTGAAAGACATGAACTTCCAAGTTCTCAAACATAGATTGGAAATTATAAAAATGTTGGCAGATAATCACCCATTTTCATGGTTTGTATAATCTTGCGTTATATAATTTATATTTTAAATATATTGAATTACTAGCAGTGCCCCTCCACGCTTTGCTGTGGCTCAGTCTGATTAAATAGTAGAAAAAAAGAGAAAGCATAAGCTTCTAAAATTTTACACCTCCCTCCTCCGAGACGAACTTGATTTCCGTCCTCCCGGTCCTGCGTGGGAATCTCAATCTTTCCCTAGATGAAAAGAGGTATAAATGGTAGTTTTCCTGTAGATGATAACCTACCTTGTCCCCTCTTCCCTTTAAAAGACAACACAAAATATTTGAACTCAATTTCAATACAATGTAACACAAAATTAAATATTAAAAATATTTAATTAAATGGAAATAAAAATTGAACATAAATATTGAAAAATCAGACTGAGCCAAAATATGACGTTGTATAGATAAAGAGTATTTAGAACATTAGAACATATTTACATATGTTTAAATATTCCGCGCACTCACTGAATCTACGACTGACAGATGGCGCTGGACTTATCTGTATCATATAATTTAAAAAAAATTAATTATTTTTTAAATAAATGAATGTAATAAAAACATACTTGTATGCGAATGCAACGTTGTGTCAAATTTCCAAAACAATCGATGAAGTACTTTTGGAGATTTGCGATTAGGAACAATCTAAATCTAAATTTTTATATTATTGAATTATAATGTATGTGTTTGGTAAACGTATATTACATTTTCAGCACTGTTTCTGGATATTGCATAACAGATATAACAGAAAAACTGGGATGTGCAAAAAATAGTCCAGTTGCATCCGAGACACTTTTATCAATAGCAAGTGCTACTAGTTTTGAATATGTGGCTAATGAAATACTTTCATTTGCATTTAGTCAAAAGAATCCTAAAGTTCAGCAAGAAACATTGCTTTGGTTGAGTAGGGGTCTTATAGAATTTGGCTGCTCGTACGTATTAATGATTTGATGTTTTAAAAATCATTTTATCATTTAATATTATTTTTTATACATATTTTATATTATATGTTATAATATTACAATTTTATATTACAGAGTTAACGTTAAATCTTTAATAGACAATATAAAGAAAGCAGTAGGGGCAACTAATCCTGGTGTGCGTACTGCTGCTATAACACTAATTGGCACTTTATATTTGTATATGGGAAGACAACTGCTTACATTTTTCGATAATGAAAAACCATCTCTTAAACAACAAATTGAACAAGAATGTGAAAAAGTAAAAATAATTTAAGGGTTATAGATTATTAACCCTTTGCACTATGATTTAATACGTGAGGCTATGTGTCAAAATCGATACTTTTTTTCATACTTATATTTGACTCGTGAAATTCACCATGGATAGAATTCATGTTTCTCATGTTTGAACTATAAAGCATATTACGAATCTCACACATTGTTATAATGCAAGGGGTTAAATGCATTTTATATAAATATAAATACAATCTAAATCTAATTTTATTTTTACTTCATATCTTAGCATAATGGTGAAACTCCACCTGTACCTATACGAGGTACCAAAAATAAGAAAATGAGAAGCGATGATGCAGATGAACCTGAAATTAATGAAAAAGTTGAAAGCAATGAACCAAATATAAATGACTTAATTCCACGGGTTGATATTAGCAATCAAATTACAGAAAGTCTTCTTAGCGAATTATCTGATAAAAATTGGAAGGTAAATTAAGATTTTGTTTTCTTGATTATAACAATTTGTTCTAAGATATAAATATATATAATTATATATATATTATATATATATTATATATATAATATATATATATATATATATAATTATATAAATATTATAATTATATATATTTATCGAATCACTCTATACTTTTAAAAATAGGTACGGAATGAAGGATTACAAAAAATAAGTGCTATATTAAATGAATCCAAATTTATAAAGGGCTCTATCGGTGACTTACCACAAGGATTAGCATTGCGATTAATTGACAGTAACAGTAAAATTGCGCAGTCAACTTTAGGTATATGTCAGACATTAGCTGTATCATTGGGTACATCAGCAAAACAACATTTAAGGATTTTATTACCTGGTTTTATACAATGCCTTGGAGATAGTAAGGTTAGAAAATTTCTATGTTAAGTTTTAAATAATTTTACTATAATTGTTCGAGTCTGAAGCAGTAAGATCTTGTTGAAAAGTACCAAGTTATTAAAGTGCCATGTGCAATTAATACATGATCGCACCACTTGACATTTGTTGACACAATTTTTATAAAGACTCCTGAAACTGAAGCAGTTAATCAAAATAAAAAAGTTGAATTTCTTCATTTTACAATCATGTATTTTAGGTTTGGATAAGAACTGCTGCGATTTCATGCATCGATACATGGGGAGAACAATGTGGTTACAAGGAATTCTTCGAAGGAGAAATTATAGGTGATGCTTTAAAATCTGGATCACCAACACTTAGAGCTGAATTGTGGACTTGGTTATCTCAGAAATTACCATTAAGTAAGAATGTATTCCAAGAATAATGTTAATATCATATTTTATTATATTAAATAATCTAATTTGTTTGTTTTTAATTTGTTCTTTCTTAGTTCCTGTAAAACAAATACCGAAAGAGGAACTTCTTGTTTGTATACCTCATTTGTATAGTAATTTAGAAGATAGAAATTCTGATGTAAGAAAAAATGCTCAAGAAGCTGTACTTGGATTCATGATTCATCTCTCTTACGAAGCAATGGCTAGAAATACAGAAAAATTAAAGGTAAATATTTTGTAAAAGAGAATCATTAATTATTATAAAATTTATTTTTTATATAAGATATAAGATTTATTTAATTAAAAGTTTATATCGTTTACGTATAATTGAGAACTAATGTTAATCGAAGAAAAGTATATTTTGTATATTTCGCATACAACAATAATTAAATAATTTAACATTATTAATTACAGCCTGGTTCAAGGACAGTGGTGCTTGCTGCTTTGGACAAATCTCGACCTAATTTACCTATAAAACCGTTATCTAAGAAACAATTATCCGATGAAAATATACAGAAAACTGTTAAAAGTGGAGGAGCTGCAAAAATAGCTAAAGCAGTAGTCAAACCAAAGGTCTCTTTTTTATTTATTAATATTTAATTCATTTTTAACATAATTCATATTTAAGATAATTCATTTATTCATATCTTTGTAATATTAAAGGGTGGGGCATCATCGAAACCAGGAAGTGCTCGTAAAAAGGATGAAGATGTTGATAACAGTCCTCTGCTAGTCACCAATAATCTTAAACATCAACGAGTCATTGATGAACAAAAATTGAAGGTTTTAAAATGGAATTTCACAACACCGAGGGAAGAGTTTGTGGAATTACTTAAAGAACTTATGACTGCAGCTAACGTAAACAAAACTTTAATGACAAATATGTTTCATTCTGATTTTCGATATCATTTAGAAGCTATCAAATCGTTAACCGAGGTGAATATTTAGATTAAAATATTTGTGCACAGTTTTGTAATGATTTTAAATTATAAAACTAAGAAATTTTTTTCTATTATTTCTTTTCTTTTTTTAGGATCTTCCTGGTAATAGTAAAGCATTAGTATCAAATCTCGATCTTATTCTTAAGTGGTTGACTTTGAGATTTTTTGATACTAATCCTTCTGTATTATTGAAAGGTCTGGAGTATTTGCAAACTGTTTTCAATTTTTTAATAGAGGATCAGTATCATATGTTAGAAAATGAAGCTGCTTCGTTTATTCCTTATCTCATTATTAAGGTATACCTTAAAATTTTTATATATTTAACGATTGAAAACTATTTTACGTATAATATAGTAAATAAAATATGAAAACGAATACTTTTTAGATAGGAGATCCGAAAGATGCTGTACGTAATGGTGTACGTGCATTATTTAAACAAATAGCACTTGTATATCCTGTCAGCAAAATATTTTCATATGTAATGGAAGGCCTAAAATCTAAGAATGCTCGTCAAAGAACAGGTATTTACGTATAACATCTTAATGAAAAGATAAATTTGTACATTTTGGTTATGCAATAATATGAAGGATGTCTGAAGTATTTTTAATTAGACGATATTAGCGTATTCTATTCTAAACATAATCAATTGGTAACTTAAGGAAAATCTTTGTCAAGTTAACGTAAACATTTGTAATTTATATAACATTTTTTCTTATTTTCGTGCATAGAATACGCCAGTGGTTCCTAAACTTTTTTGTCCTGTCGCCTCCTTCCTTGGAAAAAAATCTGCTTATTGCCCCTTGCCCTTTGGAAATTTTTTAATGGCCTTTTTTTAGTAACTGTAATATTTTGAAAATTTTAAAATTTTAGCTATTGCACTCATGTGTGCACTCATGACCTTTTTTTTTTTTAATGAACGCACACCCGTCCCGCCACATAGTTCCAGTTTTCACCTGCGATAGTGTCAATCATCAACCTGAACCGATTCATCGCTCACCGGGGGGCGATATCGTTCACTTTGGGAACCACTGGAATACGCTGATACCATTTAGCTATAAAAATCTCGGATATATACATTTGTGATAATACATATATAATAAATATCTCAAATGTGTATTTATATTATGTTATATATATGTACAACATTTTTATATATACTAAAACAAAATATAATTTTTTTAGGATGTTTGGATCAATTAGGATCACTTATCGAGAATTATGGAATTAGCGTATGTCAACCATCTCCAGCAACAGCATTAAAAGAAGTTGCAAAACAAATAGCAGACCGTGATAATTCTGTTCGGAATGCTGCTTTAAATTGTATCGTACAAGCATATTTTCTTGAAGGTGAAAAAATAACTAAACTGGTTGGTCAGGTAAGTTGTTAAAATATAATATTTTAAATTTGTAATTTAATTATTTACATCAATCTGATTCACTTAAATTCACACTTTTATAATATTTATTTATTTAATATAGATATCAGAAAAGGATCAATCGTTGTTGGATGAACGTATTAAAAGGGCAGCAAAAAATCGTCCAATAAAATCAGCATCTTCTACCAGGATTGTACCTACAATAGCGGATACCGTTCCACTGACGGAAGATGTAGAAAGTGACTATAAAGAAGACAATGAAGAAGTCCCGGAACAGGATGATATGGATGATGAAATGACTAATAATCTGTAAGTAAAAATATACTATTAAATTAGGTTTATCTAACATCCTCTATTTCATTAAGTTTCTCTCTATAAAACGTCGTTTCAGAAAGGGCAAAAAGCCTTAGCATTCTTCGATATTTATAACTGAATGTATATATGTATTTATCTTCATATAAAAAATATTACGGTAATATAATAAAATAAAAAAAATATCTTTTGGTTACAATTACAAAACAAGATTACATCAAATATCTTTGCGATCCATAGTATTGTGTTTATTAATTTATTTTTATGTCCGCATGTGTTTTGCCTCATAACAATCTTACAGGACGAAAATTATAACAACCAAAACTGGAGATATTGATTCAAAACAATCAAAGGAATCTTGTATCGTTGCGCGATCAACTTGCGAAGTTAGAAAGGAACTTGATCAAGATACTCATCTACATCCTAAAAATGATAAAGGCGATATTAACATGTTTGTGATTCATAATAACTTCTTTTACTTTCAGTATGAAGTGTATGGTGTTGGGTTTTAAAATTTGTTACTTTAAAATATCTTAACATTTAAAATCCTTTCTTTTCTTTGTTTTGTACTTTTTCCTTTATACGTTTGATTTTACTTTGAATAAGTAGTAAGTATTTACTCGTATCTCGCTAGTAATAAAGTTCTGATTTATCATTTAATATTAGCTTTGGTGTAATCAGCATGTCATATAAATATCATCCTATTATGAAAAACAAATTAATTTAAATAATTTAAAGTATAATCAAGTGTTATGTAAATTATGAAAGAAAAAAACAAGTAAACATGTTACTTTGTAAAACTAGGTCATTAACTTATATAAATTTGTATTTTTTTGCATTAAATAATATACATATACAAATAACGTACTTACTACATTAATAGTTTAATTACGCACGTAAAATCGTAATTAAATTTAATAAAAAATAACGAAAGAATATTTTTTAAACGTATTATAAAATAGTGTAGAATAAATATATATTTTCCATTATTGTTTGGTAGCTGAAGTTTGTAGTTAGGATTATTTAATATGAAATATTTGGTCAAGTTTGTATTTTGTTAAGTTTAGCGCAGATATTTTAATGCATTCAAATTTTTATAGGAATCCACTTCCAATAGGGCAAACAGAAGCTATTGGACCTTTCGGATTAGATATGGATTTTCTACAAAAAATTGAATCGAGTGCTCCAGTCAAATTTAGAAATCCTGTTCTTCAAGATACTACTATATCTGATATCGATGAACCAATTAAACTTAATTCTACTAAAACCCAGTAAGTAAATTTATTTCTAACGTGTAAATGATAAGCAATTATTTATTTGCTTATAATGTATTACAGAATGATACCAATATCACCACCAAAATTGTTGATACCAAAATCAGCAACAGTATTACCCGAAGGGCCATCTAATTCTAAAGATGATAATCTTGAACATACTATACTCGCAATGGCTAGTCTTGACTTACCTACAGCCATACAATCAATGAACAGTATTGATAATGTTAGTATAATATAAATGTATTGTTTTATATAATTTAGATAAATATATGTTTCGTATAAGAAAATAATTTCACACGAACTAACATCGTATTACAGAATGTAATTTTCTTGATATTTATTTTCAGTTATTAAGATCGCATAAAGCTTATTTATTACAGTCGAAGGAAGATAAATTTATTAGTTCAGTGAATATGCAATTAAAATTTCTACAAACGTATCCTTTGCATCAAGGAAGCACGAATGTATCCAAAGGTTTTAGAACTACTTTTATGGTAATCCTCACGGTAAGAAACCAGAATGTATAATATTTTATTTTTATAATTAAATATATTTACATGATTTATATTAAATATTATCTAATTTTTTCAGTTTTATGATACCGGAATACTTGCTAAAAATGTACCACTAATACATTTGAAAGAACTTGTCGAACAAATGATCACTTTACTTGCAGAATGTAAATTAGAACGTTTGCATGAAGCTGAAGCATATATCAGAGTAGTAAATAACATAGTTGTTAAAATAATCGACAATTCAAATCACACAACAATTATATGGTAAGTTTCATAAAATATTCTTATATTAATAAATTAATTATCTACATGCATATGATTTTATAGAAAACAAATATTATGTTTACTTAATTGTTGTTATATTTTAGTGTATTAATAGAACTACTTCATGCATGTGCTGAATCAAATGTTCCTCCAAAATATGAAGAATTGGTAATGAAATGTTTGTGGAAAATTGTTAAAACGTTCCCAAATTGGGCAGCTGACTTAGATTATGATATTATTCTCTTAGAAGTTCATCGATTTTTGAAGGTTTGTTTGTTTATTGAAAAGATTTATAAATTTTTTGTTGCGGTATGCTTTAACGTGAGTCGTTTTTTATATAAATTCACTTGTACATTCATAATGTCACATACTACGATCCTTATATGAGTCTGTCGGTTAGTAGTTTGTTCATACAGAGCCCTTACGTGAACTAACCATATAAAATTCGCTAATAACAAAAATGTTAATACTTCTTACGTATATCTAAGGTTTATATTTACAGGATTATCCAACTACTTGGTGGAAAAAGCGTTCTTCTGATACTCCATTAAGAACAATAAAAACAGTTCTTCACAGTATGACACGTGTTAAGGGAAGCACAATACTCAGTCATTTAACAAAAATAAATAACACTAATGAATCAGAATTACATTCTTATTTGATAAGATTAATTGCCGTGAGTATAAATGTGTTTATTATATTTAAAGACAAATATTTTTCTAAGCTATTAAATTTATATTTTTTAAAGACGTTTAAACCGGATGAACTAAATACAACTTCAAGGCTAACGTCAAAGACAAATAGTACAGCAAAAATGCAAAAACATTTATCAAAATCTACTCATCAACAGTTGGCAGAAATCTTCAAAAAAATTGGATCAAAGGAACAAATGCAAGAGGTTTGTTATTTCATTTTCTTCTATACTTCTTAACTTATTTAATGATGGTCGAGTTCTGTGTCCGCCCAGTTTTAAAAATGTAGTTTCGAGAAAAACGCGTTTAAAGTTTTGTTATCACTATTCGAAGCGCTTTGAGGTACTTCGTAAAAATAAAATTTCGCCATGTTAAAAATTGTTTTTTGCTTCGGGACCAAGTGCATAATGTTTTTAGATATCTAAAGTACACTTTAAGCTAAAAAACAAAAAATCGATTTTTTGACAATTCTATAGTGGTGTTACCCCTTAAATTATTATTGTATGATAGGAATTTGCAATTTCTTTAATATTATCCTTACTTTAAATATTTTTTAGGGTTTAATGCAACTTTATGATTTTAAACTTCAATATCCTGACGCAGATGTTCAACCTTTCTTAGTTAAGTCGCACCAGTTCTTCCAGGACTTTATAGAACAAGGATTACGAGAAATAGATCGGGCACGACGAAATCAAGGAGTTATACCGCGAATGAATAATTACAGCTCAGGTTATCTATACAAAATTAAGTAATAATTCGATATAAATAAATCGTACGCTTTACGTTTGATTATGATTCAAAAGAAATTGTTAATTTCATTTTAAAATTTAAATCAAACATCGCATCAATATGTGTTTACTATATATAGAATCTACTACAACTCCTGAAATAGAGGAGAAAAGTCTACTGGACCCAATGCACAGGCTTGAAAAACTCAGATCACTTGAAGCACGGTGTAGAACAACTTCTAGTCAGTCAAATCCAGTATGAATTCTCTACGTAATCAATATATAATTTAGGTATGTAATATAATATGAATGATATTAACAATATCCATAAATTCATTTATTGAGCCATTCAGAAGCCAAAGCGTTTGACTCAATTTAAAAAATTTTTTTTAATTTTATCATCAAAGCAATTGATCGATATTTACCACGTTGAGCGCCACGCTCATTTTCAAGGAAGTCCCCGTCAGGCTACACGCGCCGCTTAGAAATATCATGTTATACGCTGTCAGCCAGCAGTGGTTGACGCGGCCTAAACGGAAAGTCTAGTGTCCGCCACCGATGGCGGACGTAGCGCTCAACGTGTTAATATTTTAGATTTAAAATAAATTTGTTTAATAATTACGCTTAACATCACTAAATAAAAATAATTTGATCCCTACAAATCAACCTTAGATTTTCCATTCAGGACATTTCTATTATCTACAGCCGACATTCTTATGTTCTTTTTTTTTTACAAATGTTAATCATTGTGGTCTAAACAGAAATTACAAGAGAAGAGACTTGACACTTAACGTGTTAACCCCTTGACCTATTACCACGAGTCTGACTCGTGGTAAAAAATTTGTGCCATAAGCGAACACCACGAGTATGACTCGTGGTTAAAAATATGTGTTTTAAACGAGCGGATACGCGGCGGAACAGTTGAATGGCACGGCGCGCGACCGATTTTCTTCTTTCTTTTGGCACGCGAAATTTTCAGATATCGCGTAGGTTAAGGGGTTAATTGGTTTGGCATATGAACGGCACAATTTAAATTAATTAATGTTTTTTCAGGTATCCAATATTTGAAGGATTAGCTCATACAGTATAATGTATGATACGTACACCCACCCTATTATATTTAATATTTTCCATTGTTATATGATAACATTTATTAGCATGGCCTCCTTTATAATATAAAAAGCTAATTAGTATAAAACGAGGGAAGCGTAGTGTAAATACAGATATTGCGTATAACTTAATTTAATTTCCTCATGTATTGATGTTTCCATAACATATATATATATATATATATATATACACATTATAAACTTAGGATAAACGATAAGAATTTTCCTTAAAAAAAAAAAATGTTTCATTTACATAGTTATTAAAAGATTACTTTTCAATCGTAAATTTAAGAAGTAGCTCTTGATTAGACAAAAATAAACAAATAAATAAAAAAATTAAGTGATAATGAAAATAATCTTTGTAAAAAATAGTTTGAAATGGAATGTTCACTTACAAAGAAATAAATAATTCGATGCAAATTCTGTATTTCTATAATGGCATATGTGTATTATATTAATAAATTTTAAATATGCAAATACATAGAACAGAAAAGAAAATATAGATTATAAATTTGCCAGTTTTAATTATAATGGCCTGACAAAGATTAAAGGGAAAAAAGAACATGACATTTAATTCTTGAATATATAATATGAAGTGGCATTAATAACTTTTCATTACTTTTATAGTTATGTATATTTATTATTATTATTATTATTATTATTATTATTATTATTATTATTATTATTATTATTATTATTATTCCATTGTTATAGACTATTAGTTATTAAGATTTGTATCTTGAAAGCTAAGTAATATTTATGAGTACGAGTAACATGATTTTTAAATATACAATAAATGAAGTATAATATGTATTTAAGACTAATTTGTCAGCTAATTTGTATTTCGTTTATTTGTTTAAATAAATCATTGTTTGATATTTTATGATGTTTACCTAATCCACAAATTCATTGTCAAAATTAAGAAAATTGTTTCGGATATCATCCTATATATAGGTTTTCCAGGTCAAAATAACAATTTTTAATTTTAAAATAATATTTTTTCATTCCAAATTAAAATTTTTTCATTTCAAAATAACAATTAAAAATACAGTTACAAATAAAATAATAAATGATAATATTTATTGAACTAATTGTAAGATTAAAAATCAATGCAATGGTTGTCCTGCAGCTGCAATTGGTAATTTCATTGTCATATCGACATAATAATTATTACAATCACTAGAAGTAACCGTGCTTAAAGATTGTTTTATAATATCAACCAAATTCAAATCATTTTCAGATTCTCTCAACAGATTTCTTGCAGCTAATTTAGTTTTTGAAAAAACTTTTTCCACGGGTTAAGCATCGGTGAATATGGCGAAAGGTAGATCAATGCATGTATGGTGTTACTAACTTTATCGCGTACTTCTTGAGTCTTGTGTATTTTTGCATTGTCTACAACTAACTACGCATTATTGATATTTGCTACTGCCAATTTATCAAATAATCTATCTAAAAACAAGTTAAACGTATTCGCATAGACCGTTGAGTTTGATATTGTTTCATAATATACAACTCCATGTAAACTCATAGCTGCAATTGCTAATTAGCGATACATTTCGTCCTCTGACGATGGGAATTGAAACATAGGCTAAAGTACATGTAACCCTTCTATAACACGGTAGATAGATTCCTAGAAAATGCTGTGTTATTTGAAACCGTGTTGTTTGAGACCCAGAGCCAATGCAAAAAGGGGGGTTACACGTTCCGAAAACTTTTTAAAAACAAATATTTTTCTTTTTTTAAATAAACAACTTAATTTTTATTAAAAATATTAATGTATGAACAATACAAAACTAAAAATATTATCTTAATTTAACGCAACTTTAATTTAATTTATTTCTTCGTCGTCACTGCTCAATTTAATCAACCGAGAACGTTTTTTCGGTTGAGTGATATCACTTTCACTTTCAGAGCGAAATTAAAGTGATTTTTAGTTCATTGAAGTTTATCACATTAGATCATTTAAAGTTCTTGCATTTTCTTCCCTCTTTGAAAAATCTGTAATTTTACTTTGCTTGTTGTTTATTACCACATCATTGTAAATTTCTCAGTATGGAGCAAGACAGTTTTGATGCTCCCTTTTGAATTTTCGGCTCCTTTCTTTGGAAGGATCTGCATTTAAGAAAAATGACTCGAGATTTTCAACTAAGTTTAGGCCTTCTTGTAATATATTTAATGTTAACTTATTAACAGCACAATTTTCATCAGTGCTAGTGTCCTCAGGATCAATTTGATTTACAGTTTTGGATACCATTTCCATCAAATCCGCTTCGTCAACTTCTTCTTCCATTAATAAACCTTGAACGTCCWCAATAGCYATWTYCASAAAACCTTCGCCTCCGATTGATTTAGCAAGTTCTAATATGCCACCAATTTCATTTTGTGACGATTTTTATTTTAACTGAAGAGAGCCATATCTTCTTCCAAAACGCATTTAACGTTGATGTTTTCAGTTCACAACAGTTCGAACACTTTTGTTTTCAGGCCATGGAGATGAAAAGAAATACTTTCTGCAACACTGTATTTTTAAGACGGCAAGTCTCGTCGCGGCTGTAGAAGTACAGTGCTGTAAAAAGGTTTTTTGAAAGAAAACCGTTTTATAGGATGCCGTGTTGTAGGAGGGTTCCCAAATATGAATCGTGTTATAACGAAACCGTGTCATGAGGTACCGTCTTGTTGAAGGGATACCTGTATTCTTTTTTGAACGTGCTTTAGCTCTTCGAAGATGCAAATTAAACCCTACCTCGTCAATAAATATAATTCTTTCTCGCGTTTGTGGAGCATTTACGCAGAAGTTTAATGCATAGTTTTTACGTTGTTCAAGTGTTAAAACGTGTACAGTGTTAAAACGATTAATGGTAAAAGTAGCAATTTTAAGAGTTATTTCCGAAGTTTTCAATGCGTTAAAAATTGATGTAGTACTAAGATTTACATTTTTCTTTTGCAGAAGTTCACTTTTGATATTTTTTAATGTAATTGCTGGATTGCGTTCTATTATTAATTCAATATAGTTTAAAACTTCGTCAATCAATTTGAACATATTTTAACCACCTTGTTTTTTGTTTAAAACAACACCGACATCATTTTTGTAACGTATCAATTATAAGCTGTATTTTTATTAATACTTGATATTTGCACTGCCTAGGCTATTGTTTTACTTTATTCATATAGTTTTATTAAAATTTCTTTTTTTTTCGAAGTCTATCTTGTTGTTTACTGTTGAAATACGATTTCTTCTCCGTTCAACAACTAAATTTTTCATATTTTCATCACTACTGCTATCAAAATCATTATTTGATTCTATAATTCTGCCATAATTGCATCTCGTTGAGGAAGTATTTCTCAAGTCATTGTTTAATTCATTATTAAGATTGTCCTTTCTGAAGGGGTGAATCCCCCCTTTTAAATCTAACCAATAGAGAATTCAGTAACTAATAATAAATACCGATGATATCAATGATAAATAGTTATCATTGATACAAGCCCATTGGTTGACGACGTATTAGTCTAAGAGCTAGCTACATAAAAAGGCTTGTTATTGGTACACGATTCATTTCTATTGAAAAAAGTACCTTTGGTATAGCTGAACATAAATCTGCATGTCTGCCATCGCAAAAGCGTGGCTTAAAGCAGGGCCGTACGATTGAAAACGTGAAATTTAGGTGTGAAAAAAATCATAAGGTACACGGATTCTAATTATGAAAAAAGCTTGTATTTATATTAAGGAAACGCGGAAAAATATTGGCAGACAGTTTGCTAGGGGCTAAAGTGCCGCCAGAGCGCGCCAAAGGGGTGTAAAAATTAGGGACCCTATAGGAGGGACGCGCCATATACATTGCTAGGCTGAACATGTGGGGGGACAGCTTCTGTTGCATCACGCAGCCATGTTTATCTTTAATATGTATTAACGGCTGTGGTTAGTTGAATCATTCGCGCGCTATCACGTGACTACACGAGTTTCTGTCCCCCAGCAATGTATATGGCGCGTCCCTTCTATAGGGTCCCTAGTAAAAGTTAATTAAAAAAAAATTAGAAAATACATGAACAAAAACTATTTTATTTTATTATTTAAACATTAAGAAAACAATTTACTAAATGGTAGACAAAAATTTGGTGGCTAAAACCTTGGCAGACGGTTTGAAAAAGCGCGTTATCATTCAAGCTTTTTTATTGGGCTTAACGCGATATTTAATTATGGAATAAATATGAAATTATTATACTGTGAATATATTGTTAGAAAGACAAAAAGTGACATTATGTTATATTATTCATATCTTTATTAATCGAATACTGCAAAAATATTAACAGATGCTACTCAATTTCGCTGGCAGTGTCTAACTCAGATGGAAAATCATCTTCGCTTTCATATATCGAATCTTCCTCAGATTTGATTCCTGCATCATCGCCTGAAATATAGTAAGATTTTTATACATTGAAGTAAAAAGAAATTTTATATATTCTATGATAAAGTATTTTACCTTCAATAATTTCAATATCAAGTACATCTTTTACTGTACTGGGCAGCTGCGATCCGTCGAACCAGTTGAATTCATATTTGTCTTCGGATATTAACCATCCACAATTCTCTGGTTTTAAAATTGACGGTATTTGTTTGTAAGCATTTTTCCATATTGTGGCAATATATTTTGTTCTTAATAAATGCTGCGTCAATTCAGCCTGGCTGGGCGGTAAAATCGAAGCATCAAAATTCTATAATTTTTTTTTCTGGAATGGTTCGTCTAAGTCGTTTACTTTATAAGTTTTTAAAAATAATGCGAATCGGGCACTATTTACAGAATTCATACACTTAAAACTATATAAATTGCAAACAAATTTCTCGAGCACCGTAAATACGCTATTTTCGTCACAGTCTTCAGAGTCTATTTGATTAAAAGCTTGTTGAAATTCTTTGTTCTTTCTGAGTATCTGTACAGAACGTTGCTTTCCCTTCTTGAATAATGCAGGATTAAAATCGCAGCCAGTTAAGGCATGAAATCATGACAATGATTGACAGAATAAATCACCTAACGTTTCATACAACGCTGAAACGTCAATGATTCTCTGTCTATTCCAAACTCCTGTTTGTATATAAACTTTGCTACCTTGTCGAACATTAATTATATTAGCTAACATTATAATTAAAATGTCTGTATCGGAGCATTTTATTACAATATTTGCTGTTAATTCAATATTGCACGCGTGGTATACAATTTTGGTATCTGCTTCTTCGTGCAAATGGAGCGTAAAATTATCATTAATTGAAAATAATATGCTCTCATTTTGAATTTCATATTGATAGCATTTATCGAAATTAAGTAGTACTTTTTTATTTCCTAAAAACGGAATCATTTCTTGCTGTTAACAGTGATTTATTAAAAAATTCACTAATGCTTCTTTAAAATAACTGTTTCTCAGCTCTTTATTAAAATCGGCTAGTCTTGCTTGCTCTGGCCCAGAAATCGCGTACATGCGATTACCAGAGAAACCTCCTCGTTGTGACCTTTCATAGTCTTTGATAGAAGGTGATCAATATCTATCAAAAATTATGTGTATTTCATGAGCTTTGTCTTTAGTTACCATTTGCAGTATTTTTTTCGAAACACTGATAAATGTTATCGGCAAGTCCTTAATATAATGGATAAAAAAAAATCCATCTATTAAACAAATGTCGGTATAAGTCGGAGCCTTACTTTGAACATCTCTTTCCAAACATTTGAATAGAGCAGATTTATCTGTTTTATAAATAGATCCATCCAAGTGACACATACACATTGGAACGAGTGTTAGAGGGTATGATAGAATTTTTTCAACATTAGTGTTTTCATTCATCGATATAGCTAGCATACGTCCGAATAAGTCACGCTGCAATCGTACCTCTTGAACTTTATTATTCACCCTCACTAATCTTTTCTCAGTCGTAGCAGCAAAATTGAGTATTTTATTTTGCTTTAATGTCATTTCAAATCTACTATCAGATTCAGCACATTCAGAAATGAACGTTTCTCTCAAGCGATGACCAGTTTTCTCAACACTCAATAAAAATTCAGTTACTTCTTGCGACGCTACTTGTCCTGTTGCAATATTAAATAACTGATCGCTCTGAATATCTTCGCTGTTGAAAGGATTCATGTTTTGTTTCAAAACAGCTATAAAATTTTGAAGCTGTGTACTGTCTTTTTTAATTTGGTGCTTTTCTTAATCGCTGGTGATGTCTTGCTTTTTTTTAATCCTGTTATATCGTACGTATGAGATACTATGATCGATCGGATGCCATGACTTTTAGCCCATCTTTGCCGCTCTGAGATTGATGCCGCGAAGAAGCCGAATACTATCAAATGTTTATTTATTGTTTAAATAAAACTTGATTTATGCAACAATAATTAGCACAAAAATCCCAATATTTCCTAAAAATTAAAGTTGTAAAAATAGTAAAATTTTCGTTTCAGTATTTTATAAATATTAATAATTAATGTATACTTAAATATCCAGCGCGTTGAGCGCGATTACAAATTTTCTATTCTAGCGCGTACAAATTTTTGTCTGCCATTTAGTAAATTGTTTTCTTAATGTTTAAATAATAAAATAAAATAGTTTTTGTTCATGTATTTCCTAATTTTTTTTTAATTAACTTTTACTAGGGACTCTATAGAAGGGACGCGCCATATACATTGCTGGGGGACAGAAACTCGTGTAGTCACGTGATAGCGCGCGAATGATTCAACTAACCACAGCCGTTAATACATATTAAAGATAAACATGGCTGCGTGATGCAACAGAAGCTGTCCCCCCACATGTTCAGCCTAGCAATGTATATGGCGCGTCCCTCCTATAGGGTCCCTAATTTTTACACCCCTTTGGCGCGCTCTGGCGGCACTTTAGCCCCTAGCAAACTGTCTGCCAATATTTTTCCGCGTTTCCTTAATATAAATACAAGCTTTTTTCATAATTAGAATCCGTGTACCTTATGATTTTTTTCACACCTAAATTTCACGTTTTCAATCGTACGGCCCTGCTTTAAGCCACGCTTTTGCGATGGCAGACATGCAGATTTATGTTCAGCTATACCAAAGGTACTTTTTTCAATAGAAATGAATCGTGTACCAATAACAAGCCTTTTTATGTAGCTAGCTCTCAGTCTATATATAAATATATGTTTTTTTATGAAGATGTCTTTTTCTAATTTTGTTTTTCTAAATTCCAAAAATACGGACAGTTGTATAGTGGACGTAAATCCAACGCATTTTTTAAATGAAATTTATTTATTTTTAAAGATTATTATTTTCTGAATTTAATCTATTTGCACTATAAACTTATATACTCGCTCAATTTTCCTGGTCACTATCACCGGAACATATATATACACGGCTGCGTTCGGCATTGAGGAGAATCCAAATATTTAATTAACCCTTAACGCTCCGAATTTTAATTAACTATCATACTTCGACTTGCAAAATTTTAAGTGTCAAATTTGAAATACTACAATGACATGTTAATTTTGATTTTAAATATTACTGTAATGCTTGTTAATGACTGAGGAGTATAACATTTTTGTTTCTTTGTTATCTCTTTGTTTGTATTGATTTGTTATTTTGTTTCTTTTGTTATCTCTTATTTTTTTTTTACTTTTATACAATTTTACACCTAAATACATAACAAAAATTTTTCGGTGATATGGGCCTTTTTTCATATTTCCATATGATGCAAATGGATTAATTCCATAAATACTGTTTTAAATATAATTGCACATAAATTTTAAAAATTAACAAAGCACATTATGTGAATTAGTTTTTTAAATTATCATTCATTATTTTATTTCTGTTTTTTTTAATCGTTATTTTGGAATGAAAAATTGTTATTTTGAAATGAAAAACCTATATATATATAAGATGATTTTGGAATTGATAGAGGTTTTCTTTTGTATGAATAACACATGAACTGTTTCTTTGTAATTAACAAAGATTTTATTATTTTATACCCAAAATACAATATAGTAGCTTAACCTAATTATTAATCCTACCTGTAATTAACAAAGAAACAACATTCAGTGTTGTTATTCACATTGTTGTTTCTCGGTTACCTTTTTACAATTTCGTTTTAGATTCTCAATTAATTCTACCTGTGCACTTCGTGACTTACATTTGTGGTTTTCCAATTACAGAGCATAATGTAACTCAGTGGCGCACAATGCCGAATTGTGCTAGGGATCCTGTAGGAGGGATGCGCCATACATATTCAGCTCATGTGCCATTGGCTGAAAATTTTGGGGGACCGCTTCCGATCCAACGCGCAGCCATGTTTATCTTTAGTATGTATTAACGGCTGTGGTTAGTTTAAGTTTGGAATACTTATAGTTTTTATTGTGATATTTATGTTTAATTATTTTGTTTTTTTTTAGTAGTTTTCTATAAGTTTAAGTTTAATTTACTCATTTAATAGTTACAAGTATAAATGTACAAACCTAACCTATAACTTATCGTTTGTTTACAGACTTATTGTTTGTGATGAATAATCATGGTTCGACAGTGTATTCTTAATTACTGCAAAAGTTCAACAAGAACTASGCAAGACCGTAAATACCTTATACCATCGCGTAGGTATAATCGCAAAAATTTACAAAATTWTAAGCAAACAAATCTCAGTTCGAGTAAAACTATGACCATGTACCACATTGAGAAATAAAAATATGTTAAAATAAATCTATTTTTTAATTGTTTTATATATTTGTCTTATTATTATTATTATTATTATTATTATTATTATTAATATAATATATATAGTAGATAATTACATTTATCAAAATTGTATAAATTCCTACAAATTGTTTTGAAATTTCAAAATACTGTAATGCCTTTTATCAAATCAAACTTAATTAAGTCTTCCTTATTGAATTTATAATAATTTTTTCGTGTAACCTATTCTATTTTAATATAAATTTTTAATTATCATTAAATATAGTTCATTTTTTTCTGTATTTAATGCAATTCATTATTTCATAATTATTTTAATGTTTGAATCATTCGCGCGCAAAATCGAGTTCCGGTCCCCCAGCAATGTACATGGCGCATCCCTCCTATAGGATCCCTAGTAATTGGAAAACCACAATTGTTATCGACACGTCACGTATCGATTCATCTGATTGTCTTTGGTACAGTAGGAAGTCTGACTTACCAACCTAATTTACGCGCTAAATACAATTAGACTAAGACTAGACTAGACTTTCCTTACATATATATAAATTATGGTATCCCCACGGAGGCTACATATAAGAAGGACGATCGACATAAGGAATTGTACAGTCAACGCGTCTAGAAAAAAAAGAACAGATCATTTTCGTAAATACGCCGCTAGGCTTCGTTATGTTCGCTAATGTCAGGTTTATAACGTCATGGCATCATAGTGTCTACTTCATATTTTTTATTGACAATTGTTGACAATGCTGCATCATTAACAATTGTATTAATGTTTTTTTAGTTTATAAAAAGTAATATTTATTTAAAAATGGTAAATAAATATATTGTTCATGGGTGTACAAGTGGACGAGTCAAGAATCGTAATAAGAATGCTAAATTAAATCAGAGAAATACGTCTTTATTCACTGTACCACAGGTAATCTAACCTTAATTGATAGTTATTAATTACTAATATAAAAAAATGCAATGATGCAAATGGTAAAAAGTCTAGTCCTGTAAAAAGTGCAATTTACGATAATAAATTATAATTTACTTTTAATTGGACTTTTTAAATTTAGATTTCCATCTTTTACTCAACTGTGACTAGGTAAGATAAAATTGAATAGATTTACATAACAAGTTGACGATAATATCTTGGGAATAATCGTAAAATAATAAAAAAAATTTTTTTTATTGTTATTTTTAACGTTAATTATAAGATTTGGTTAATTTATTGTAACTAACGTGAGTACATTCCCGCGACAATAGTTTTAAAAACCTGACATTAGCCACACTAACGCGCTCTAGTGGCAAAAGATCTGTCCCCTCATTTTCGGATGCTTGTGATACATTACGATCGTTCTCCTTATATCTAGCCTCCGTGGGTATACCATACATAAGGATTTAAATTTTTCATTTGTCTATTATTTACTATCGATAAATATTAAGTAACTAATAATGTATTCTATATTATCAGCAGCTGATTAAACACAGATCACAGCGACACTTTGAAAATCGAAACTACAAACTGTCAATTGTGTTATGAAAGTCATGAAAGAAAGATTAATTCGACAATGATATACACTTTCAAGTATTTTTACAAAGCGATTTTAGATTTTATTTAATAGTTTTCGACGTTCGTATAAATATTACATTGTAGTAAGTAGCTAATTCAATTATTCATAAATATAAAACGATTTAAATAGCTCGATTTAAACGTTGAGTGTTTCAGTCGTCATTTTTTTTGACGATATCCTTTGTGTTTGTGAGTTCGGTCAAAGTATACGACCTTATTTAAAGCTATTTGTTAATTTAATTTTATATTTATTTGAAATGTTTAAATATCTTTCTTTTACAATTTGATATACTTTGATCGAATTTCAGTATATATTATTTTGGCACTTGAATTCGAATCTATGTATCTATTATTAATTCATTTTTATTTCCAATATTTTAAACATACTTTTGTTAGATAATATCATTCCAAATTGATAAGAAGCAACATATTTTTAAACATATTTTTAGTCAGGTCTAGATTCAATTAATAGAATAGGATCTTATTGAATTATATTAGAATTTTCTTTAGAAAATCCATTGTCAACATGAAATTAGAGACATATTATATATCTCATATGCTTATATACACAATATCTATCAGTACAGCTTTGCGTGATATCGTCAAATAAATATAAATGATGATTTAGTTTTTACATATTCCAATTTATGTATTATTTAATTAAATATAATCTTAAGTTTATTTTATAATTAAACTAAAGATTTTAAAATGAAAAGTTCAACTATTCATTTATAATTTATTCTCAGATTGTATATTCAATTCTTCAAAGATGGATAAATTATCATGGACACATTATCAATGTATTTTAGCAGTTCTTATGGTAGTTACTGGATCATTTAATACCCTTTCTGTAAAGTAAGTATTTTATATACATATAATACATAGGGTACTTGAGGTTTCTCTGGCCAAATAGTGTCAGTATATTCTGTGCAAGAAATGTATTCTGTCACATTTATTGAGCAATAGCATTGTCCTTAAATTTCCAGTCTTTTATATAGACCTTTTCTCATGTTTATTTATGATGTTTACTATTTTAAAGTGATTTATAGCGACTCTCAATCGTTATCAGTTTTCTTTAAGTTTCTTTATAAAATATTACTCATTCAAATACAAAAGTAGTTTCAAAGACATTCATTATATATATAGTTTGTTCAACAAAAATAATCAAATTGTTATAAAAGGGTACCAATCCAGATTTCTTATCAGAAGAATACTGCATTATCTAGTATTTTTGAATGAGTATTCACAATGATGTGACACAAGTTCATTTAGTCTTACAGTAATGGGACCTACACATTTGTGTAGGCGGTCTACATTTTGAATAAGAAATTAGTGATTTACAATTTTTGTTATCACTTTTTTACAAAGTTTCAAATGATTTATGTTTTTATAACATTTTTATTTTTATTTTTATGTATAGATTACACTAACACAATTTTTTCGGAGAAACCTCACACTCTTTTATATGTAAAAATATTATAATATGCTCTTGTATTAAAAGTTTCATTCTATTCTTCAATTGAAAGAGGAAAAATAATAATTTATAAATATTTGCATTTTTATCTTAGGTATGCTGATAAACAAGTAGTGGCTGGACAGGATGGAGTGCCCCGTCACTTTAATCATCCATTTATGCAATCTTCATTTATGTTCTTGGGCGAAATGCTATGCTTTATCATTTTTAAAATTGCATATTGTTACTATTGTCGTAAAGATGTAAATCTTACTTTTAATACTTATTTTTTTATTTTGTTCTTAACATCCAATTTAATTCTAAATAATTATTGTACAGGATGGTTCTGTAGATAATAATGTCTTAACCAAAGGATCTCGCAATTTTAATGCATTTATCCTATTTATACCAGCTATGTGTGATATGTTAGCAACTTCTATTATGTACGTCGGTCTTAATATGACTTATGCCAGTAGTTTTCAAATGTTGCGTGGTGCTGTTATAGTTTTTACTGGTATTCTCTCAATGGGCTTCCTCAATAGAACCTTTGGTGGAAGAGAATGGACTGGAATTGTATTTGTTATGATAGGTTTAGCGCTTGTTGGATTGAGTGATATGATGATTAAGAAAGATGACGACACTAGTTTGAATTCTATTTTAACTGGAGATCTACTAATAATTTGTGCACAGGTATAATCACATTTAATATATGAAAATTTGACAAGCCAAAACAATTAATACATCTTTAAGAATTTTTACCAATTTTATTATCAAGCTTTAATAGCTATTAGTATCTAGCTATCAAGCTATTAATATCACTGAAATGAAAGATTTTTTATGGTCATTTAATATTAATAATAAATAATACGATGATTTATGTTATTTTATTAGTTTTCTTTAATTTTTGTTACATGGAGTTAATTGATTTGGCAAATTAGTGGCTCATATAATTTATTTGTAGCATCAAGTCAAAAATATTATTTTTACTAGGTAATAACAGCTGTTCAAATGGTAATAGAAGAAAAATTTATAGCTGGTCAAGACATTCCTGCATTACAAGCAGTTGGTTGGGAAGGTAATGTATAAGAATATTTTAAACAAAAGAATATTGATTTTGCTAACAATAAATAACATTTATGATTTTTTCGATTCATATTTCTAAATAAACTAAAATTATGATAAACAAGGTATGCATTTTTTTTTAGGTATTTTTGGATTTATTGGTATATGTCTCGTAATGATTCCTCTTAATTTTATTTACGCACCACCACCATTTGCGGATAACTCAAGAGGAACTCTTGAAGCTACTGCAGATGCTTTTGTACAAATTGGTAATAGTGGCAGATTACTGATGGCTATAGTTGGTTAGTAAAATCAGAAGTTTATTACTATTTCATAATATAAGATTAAATTATTTTAATATATGGGGCATTCTACGTCAAATTGACCACTTTTGACCCCAACCCTTTTCGATTTTTCTGAAACGTTTTTATCATTTTCAACTTCATTAAAAACCTCTTTGAGAATTTTGAAGTGAAAACTTCTTTATAATTGGAACGATTTGAAAACAAATGAAACGATGAAATGAAAAAAGTGACAAAACGCGACGTCACCAAAAAGAGAAAAATAGACAAACATATATACATCAATAGGATTGAGCCTGCGAGAGAATGAGATAGAACATAGTATACAGCTTTTCCTATTCTCTCGGTCCCCTTTTTGTGCAGTGCTTTGCAGTCCTCACTCCTGGCTACTAAGCGTTGTACTCATCGGGTTGACTTTCTTTTGAATAATTATTTTATTTCTTTGTTTTGTTGTTTTATATAATTTTTTTTTCTATATTTCTACAGCACGTTACATTATTTTAATTGTAAATATAATAGAAAGTATGGTATATATTTTTTTTTTACAGAATTTGTAATATTTCCTCTATTTAACAATGTTTCTAATTTATTGAAAAGCAGCAGAAAATTCTTTATTACGTAAATATTATAATTAATTATTATGAATTACATAGAATATAATAATTATATTGCCTACAATATTTTACAAGAATTAGGCAACACTGGAGAATACATTAGAAGCAGCTGAAAAATTCCGTTGAAAAGCAAATAAATTATTGTCACATTTTTTTTTATAAAATGTATTCGATTCATAAAATTCTAAATATGTTCATTGAATTTATTTTTTATATGTTTTTATAATAAATATTCAAAGACATATAAGAAAATTATATTATTAATTATAATATTTGTGTATTAAAGAAACGTATACTAATTTTTCAATAAAATAGAAATATTTTTAAATATAAGAAAAATGACAGGTTTTTTTTTTAATTATACCAAATTTGCTATTATATTTCCAATAAAAATAATATAGACAAATAATATTATAATAATATTATAATAAATTATCCTATTCTTATACTGTGCACTCGTCCCATTCTCTTGAAACTTGCTTTTTTGAAGGTTTCACTTATAACTTGTGTGATCTGCACACATGATATTTTCAAATTTTTTTACCCAACCCAAAAATAGTTATGAATTAAAAAACAAAATTGCTTTATTTTTTATTCAAATAGCCGTAAATTTGTCAAAAATTAATTTATTGTGACGATTGAATTTTAAATTTTTTGTTTTTAAATGTACTTTTTGGAAAAAAATAGAAACAAAATATTTGAAGTCATTTTGTTTTTATTCTAAAATAAACTTAAATAAATGTAACTCATATATAATTTTTAAATCTATTTATATATGTTAATTTAATTATATACTATCGAAAATTATAATTATAAAGATTGCAATGCATTATTGGTCAATTTTTCCAAGTCAATATAATTAACAATTTATTTAGATTTCCTTGGTCACTTAAAAAATTTACAAACAATATATTGTTTTAAATTAGAATAATTTTTTTTACAAAAAAACCTTTGTACAACCGTAACGGTTAAGTTTTCGCCAATTGATAATTACAATACAGCTGCAGACGATTTAGATCAGCGGTCGTCAAACTTTTTGACCTAACGGACCAGTAAATTCATGATTTAAATCCCTTGGACGACAAATAGAATTTTTTAAGTGTTAAATATATTTATAAAAATAATTGTGATCTAAGAACACATAAAATGTACCTAATTAATAAAATGAAACTATTAATTTTAACCAAATTATGAAAGCTATGCATTGTTATGAATTGAATTATGTTTCAATGCATCTTAAAACATAACTTAACGTGATGAGTAAGTATATTCCACATTTTTCTGGAGACCAGCGAAATTTTCTCGCGGACCACCACTTTGGCGACCTCTGATCTAGATGACCGATTTTTAAAAACAACAATCATTGTAGGAATTTTGCAGTTGCATAGCGTTATACGAAGCAATGATGGGTGTTTTTTGTAAGAAATTATTCTAATTTAGAACAATATACTGTCTATAAATTATTTAAGCGACCAAGGAAATCGAAATAAATTCTTAATTATATTTACTTGAAAAATTGACCAATGGTGCATTGAAATCTTTTTGTAATCATAATTTTTGATAGTATATAATTCAACTAAAGTCATTAAATAGATTTAAAAATATTTATATATATTTATTTAGGTATATTTTAGTATGAAAACAAAATTAAATTTGCGAAAAAATAAAAACAAAGTTTTTAAATTAGAAAAGCAAATAGAAAGAAATGTCGGCCCATCTAAAAATGGTATGCATTAAGTTCAAAATGAACGAAAATTTAAAAAGAAAAAATCAAAAAAATAAATAAAAAATATAAAAATTTCAAAAATTTGAGGTCTTTTTCGAAAAACAAACGAAATTTTTTAAAGACTTTGATTTTTAACCCTTTTGCTACGGAAAGCTTCGCCGCGAAATCGATTTATGCTTATATTACATTTGTTCAAATATAATTAAAAACAAATTAAAAAATGAGCCTAATGCCATCGATGTTCAATATGCGTAACAACAAAAATATCGCAGGGCTGATAGTCAAACGGTATCACGCTGTCGAATTTTATAGCCGAATCTCGTACAAATACAGTAGCCCTCGATTTTCGCTATTCTAAAACTGTTACCGTTACTTCAATTGTTACCTCGCGCTCGCACCTACCGCGGACTTTCAATGTGTCTGGCAAGATGTAAAAACCATTAAAACTGTCCGGCTATTGAGGTAACATTTTTTTTACAGGTCCCCAAGTAACATATATAAAATTTAGCCTTTATACTATAACGAAAGTAAAGTTATATATAGTGTCTGGCAGAGAGTAGCAACTGTCATAAGTGTCCGGCAATGGATGACGAGATTTCTAAAGTTATCCCGAAGAAAATATAAAAAAATTGAGCTTTATATAATACTTTAATGAATTTAAGGTGCTATTTTATACACCTCTACTACTTGTTAACAACCTGCCCAATTAACCACAACCCAAACTCTATAGTCGCTGGTCGTTCTTACTTGTATAGGAGACATGCACAAAAAAACTTTCAGCTTTTATGAAATAATGAAGGTCTGGCAGTCGTGGGCTCTTAGTCTATAATGCAAGACTGAAACTGTTTTGTTCTCTTTATCTGAACAATGTCATCTGATGTCCCCTGAGAGGAGACATCCGATCACAGAGGATTGAACAGTTGAATCTTTAAAAATGTGTGAAATAACGAATTGTGCGAAAGTAGAAATCGCGAAAGTAGAGGCAATGCTGTCAGATCGTGGGTTAATCTTACCCTCTCCCTGTGCCACTGGGATTGCACACAATGAAAGTTTTCCATGTTCGTGTGTTTGGGATGTCGAGGAAAGCCGAGTGTAACCGAAGTTGGCGGGCACGCCGGAGTGACACACTATGAAAGCGACTCGTGTCGTCCGAACACATGGACACGAGTCGCTTTCATAGTGTGCCACTTCGTGGCCAACCGCCAACTTCGGTTACACTCGGCTTTCCTCGACATCCCAAACACACGAACATGGAAAACTTTCATTGTGTGCAATCCCAGTAGCACAGGGAGAGGGTAAGATTTACCCACGATCTGACAGCACTGAGTAGAGGGCCGCCTGTATGTCGTCACGCGGATGTACGGCTCCCGTACACACAGGTAGTCACGTGGATGCTGTATATATGCGGCACCTGTAACGAAAGGGTTAATATTTTTTCTAAAAATGTACTTTTAACCCATTTGCATCATAAGCGCGTATATATACGCTCAATTTTTCTGGTCACCATCACTGGAGCGTATGTATACGCAGCTGCGTTCGTCATTGAATCTAAATATTTAATTAATAATATAACACACACAACACACACACACACACACACACACACACACTAACAGTATAAGATCACAGAGACAAGCACCGATACTGAGAACTGTTACACTGTTTGGATTCAATGATAATTAGTTATTTTGCTTCTTTTTGTTATCTCTTTTTTATTTTTTTACTTTTATACAATTTTACACCTAAATACATAACAAAAATTTTTCAGTTTTTTTATATTTCCATATGATGCAAATGGGTAAAAACAAAAAATTTAAAAAAAGAAACATCCCGCTAAGTCAATTTTTGACAAAGTTACAGCTATTTGAATAAAAAAAAGCCATTTTTTGTGAAAAATTCATAACATTTTTTGGGTTGGGTAAAAAAATTATTATAAATTCTCAAAGAGGTTTTTATGAAGTTGAAAATGATAAAAAAGTTTCAGAAAAATCAAAAGGGGTTGGGGTCAAAAGTGGTCGATTTGACGTGGAATGTCTCATATACAATAATTATATTAATCATGACTCATTATATCGTTTCTTTCTTTTATTTTATATAGGAATAGCATTCAGTATAGCATTTTTTAACTTTGCTGGTATTAGTGTGACAAAGGAAATCAGTGCTACAACAAGAATGATTTTAGATAGCATACGAACAATTGTTATATGGGCTTTTTCATTGATATTTGGATGGCAAGACTTTCATTATCTTCAGGTAATTATATATTTAAATACAAAATATATTTTTAATTTTAATAATATATGTTTACCAAATATTGATAATCATTATAATGTTCGACATTATTTACAATTAGAAACCGAATTAATTATTAATGAAACTTTTTACAGCTTATTGGCTTTGCGATTCTTTTAATTGGAATGTGTTGCTATAATAACGTGGTAATTCCACAATTAGCAAAAAAATGTCTGTTATACTTAATGAGAAAAAGACGCGCTCCCGATGAAGAACGCATTGTTAACATTGCTGCAGACGATATTCAAGAAAGTATATAAAAAGCATAAACGAAGCATGTTGTAATGATTGTCAAATGACATGGGATATAATTGATAACGATTTACGAAAACAGTCAGATCTGTGATTTAACATATAAACATTTATCACCTATAATTATGTTATAACAGAGAAGCTATGGTATATTTTTCATATTTCCATTATTGTCATATCACATATAATATAAGAAATAATACGTAGAGATTTATTCAACAATTATTAAAATATTAAATCTTATCAACTTTATTCATATATATGTTATTAAACAGATTTATGAGATTTTGAAGAAATCTGATATATATACATTTGTTCGATTGTTTTATATATTATACTATTAGTATTATTGACGTATATATTTGAACATGTATACAAACATATACAATGTAACATATAAATAGGTTTTTTTTTTTAATAGACAGCCTATCACCTAGTAGTAATATTAAATTTAAATACATGCAATCTTGTGAATCTCTCAAAATAATTTTATTTTAGACATTAATTTTTATCAGATCGAAATAGAATTTATTTTATTATTACGAAAACACATTAATTAAAAATATAAAAAGTAAAAAATTTATAACACCGTAGGAAATTATTATTCATCAATCCTATGGGTGGAAATAAAATTACTAAACCATGATCCTATCAAATGTTAGTGTTTGTATTACACACATTTGAATAATTGCAACCAAGTTATAAATTCGGTTCTTTTGGTTCACTATGCTCTATAAATTAATTCTTTGCCGCCCGCAGTCCCACCGTATGAGACATTGTGATTCTAGCCTATCACTCTGTTGTCCCAACGTATGGGGCATTAAAGTTTATTAGTTATTACGGAGAATTAAGTTATTTCAGCACAACTTTTTGACACATGCATGTTTCCCTGATGTTTTCTCTTGAAATGGCACAAGACATTAAATCAAAATATAGTGAAGTTACTAAGATATATAAAAGAAATTTCAACGGGTTTTTTGCACTTCTCGGCGCCACTTACCCGAAAATCTAAAAAATTATTCTTCTTTTAGTACATAAGTTCTTTTGGTAAAAGTTTTTTTGTTAAATATCATTTTGTGAGTTAGTAATAACAATTACAAGTTTTCAACTCATGTATTAATTCAATTTTTTTATTTGAATAATAGCAAAACGTTCAAAAATTATTTATCATACTGTACAAAATTATAAAAAAAAATCATGTGTCAGATCACACGTGTTAGAAGTAAAACCTTCAAAAAACTAAGTTTCGAGAGAATGAGACGAATGCACAGTATCAATAGTAAGATAATTGTAGGATTTATTTACTATAATATTGTTGCCATATATAACAAAAGGCACCAATATAATCAGTGGGCGGAATAGCTAATAAAAACTACACTTTTCCAAATTCAAGCAATACAAATAGAATGCTGAATGCGATAATTATAATTAGACACCGAAATCGTAGGATGTTTATCAAAGGATGTTTATAAAAAGAAATAAAATTCGTCGTAAAATAAGTAAATATAAATTATTTTTTTTATGAAACTCAGGTATAAAATTTTATTTGTTAGGATGGTTTCCAATTTCTCGTTTTCATCTACATTTTTGCGCTGTTTAATAAATATTTTAGGAATGACGAAATAAAGACGTTACGAAAAACATATGGAAAATAGTGCTGGACTGAACGAAGGTTCTGGTACAAATGCAATGAGAGGTCTAATAGAGATCTTTTCGAGAAATGCTTTTTCAACTATATAGTCTGCCACACTTCTCGAGACCTTTATTATTTATAACATATCTCGTCTTTATTCTTTAAACCACAAATTTATATTTTCTAAATACTCTTTTCTAAATAAAGATCTGAACAACGAAAAATCCAAAGAACGCATTGAATCGTATCGCTCTCTCAGCTTATCGAACTGTGTACACTACGAGTCTCAAATTTCAGACCTGTGGTAAACTCCACCGATTCACGCTGAGCGTTCAACATCTTTAAAATGTTTTTATTTGATTGAAAAATTAACATAAATTTTTGTATTACGTAAATATTATAATTAATTATATAATTTTGCTAATATGCCTAGGTTAATACATGTCTTTGGATATTTTTTATAAAAACATATATAAAGCAAATTCAATAGAAATAAATTCATCTTTATGATTCAAATATATTTTATGGAGAAGCAAAATAAAAATTTTCTTGCTTTTGAATGGAGTTTGTCAGCTGCTTCTAATATATTCTACAGTGTTGTCTAATTTTTTTTCTCTGATGTATCTTGTAATCATTTTTTTTTTTTTTTTGTAAAATATTGCAGACAATACAATTATTATATTCTATATATTTCATAATTATTAATTATAATATTTGCGAAATAAAGAATTTAATATTAATTTCTCAATAAAATAGAAACATTTCTAAATAGAAAAAAAATGATACGTTTGGTAAAAAAATACACTATATTTGCTATTATATTTTTAATAAAAATAATACAACTTACTGTAGAAAAATAGAAAAAATAAAAAATTAAATTAAGAAGTTAATCGATGAAACTTGATCCAGCGATCTCTAGGTTACATTTTCTTATAAATTTTTATTCAAAAATAATAACAATAGTGTGTACATGAATACATTTTTACAAATATATAAAGGCACTTAACAGTTTTACGTTTAGATTATAATACCTACTTTAATCTAAGAGTTTAATCTACAGTTCTTATATATAATATTATAAAGTTTATTCTTTGGTTAGAGTTAGAATTATCAGTTGTGGTATAAAAATTGCTAATTGCTAGTATCTGTAGGAAAACAATATGAGAAAAACCTACTTTCGGAGACTAGGTTACAATTTTAGGTCGATACGCTTTACGCTAGAGCTATAGTTTATGAGAGATTTAACAAAATAGTATATAGGAATATTAGTAAATCTTTAAACCTAATTTTCTTAAAAACTACTGCACCTAAGATGCTAATTACTATACACCGTATGTACGGTCTGTAACCCTAACGAACACATATAAATTTATAAAGTTTCATAAACATCTTAAAAATACAAGTTCTAGGTTCTTTGTGAAATAACATGAGTCTACGGTTCGTAGTATGCAGTCGCACACAAACACACACATGTATAACCAAGAGCGATAACTAGGAAGCAGCGCATAAGGAGGAGACTGAGAATAGGAAAAACTTTATAGCTATATTCTATCTCATTCTCTCGCAGGCTTAATCCCATATGTTTCTCTCTTTTTTCTTCTTACTTCCGTTATGCCACCGCTCGCCTCAGCGTTCAATTTTTCAAATCATCCCGATTAAAAAGAAGTTTTTACTTCAAAAATTAGTGAAAAATTAGAAGCTTTACTATTTAGTGATAAAAACGAGTAATTCAATAAAATACAATAGGCTTGTAGAAGAAGTAAAATGTGTTGAAAAAAGAAGAATTTTTGGTTTTTTAAAACATTATGTTATAATTCAGGTCCAAATAATTAAATATTTAATTTTTCTTATTACTTGATTCGCACACGTTTCAATGCGGTACGTGAAAAGTCAGTACGATTAACAGAAAATCTGTTTTCTAAAAACACAAAGAGATAATAACGAATAACTATAAAAACTATTTGTTCGCGTTATATATATTTTTGTCTTTATTGTTTTTGAAGGAAACCTAGTTTAATAATTAAAATCAATAGGGAAAGCCTATTTAAAAGTAAACATTTGAGTAAAAGGCCTTAAAACGAAAAAATTTATATTTTATGTCTGCATTTACTCAAAATTTACGAGACTTAGAAAAGTGCAAGTATAGGCAAATACTGCAAAAAATTAAAAACTACTATCATATTATTGATTCTAAATTTACTTTTATTATATTCAATTATTCACCTCTTGTAAATTTATATATTATATAGTTAAAGTATGCAACTTTGTTTATTTTTATATTCAGATGAATCAGTACAGTTAATTTAGTATTGAACTAGATATTTCACGAATAAAAAAATTTTGCAAAGTAACGATAATAATATATTTGAAAAATCTAAATTTTAAATGTATATTCTAGGTGGCCATATGAATATGATATCAACTAGATTTCATGTACTGGCAAGTATCATGATACTCACATCATATTAAACAGTTATGGAAATTTTTATTTTTTGTTAAAATTTAATACATGCGTTCTAATAATAAAATATAAAAGGAAAAAAAGGAAAAATACGGGTGTAAAATGTATTTATTTATTTATAATTATTAAGTAGGTGTATTGTTCTAAGAAATCTACGGATTTCTTACTTGAGATATAAAAGATACTCTTTATTCTCACAAATTATTGCTTATTACAATTACAATTACCATTACAATTACAATTACAATAACGCTTCGCAACTTCTCGCACTCACTCACTACTCACTCGCTACTCTTTACTCGCTATTCTCACTCGCTCTCGTCACTCGGTTCTCTTCACGCTACTCTCTCGAAAAACAACAACCCCCGACGCGTGACCGTCCTCTTCTTATGAGGTTTCTTCCCCACCCTGCATTTTCCAAACGCTCTCGGACCTTTGGACCCATACCGACTAACACACACAACCTGTCGAACCTTTGGACCCACACCGACCTACAACACACACAACCTCTCGGACCTTTGGACTCACACAGACTTACACACACAACCCCTCGGACCTTTGGACTCACACAGACTTACACACACAACCTCTTCGATTTTCAACACACCCCACATATATACTGTAAATAAGATAAGGTAATAAATATAAACCAAATATTTTGTAATTAATTGTTACTCATAGCTTATTTATCATAATAAAACCCTAAAAAAAAAATTGGATACATAAACTTTCGAACACACACAGTACTGCCTTTCTCTTTACTGTGATGTAGTTTTACGGTTTCGTTATTTTTTTTTTTTATTACGACCACTTTTTTTTTACAATTTGTCCAGCTTGGACATTCGGTAAATTAGTTTATCACAATATAAATATAACACGATGATACTTAACCCACAGAGAAGTATCGAATGTATCTGTTAGTACAGTTGAGTTAATGGATTACGCACTAATTATGTGTTACGTAGTAGGTCTATCGAATGTTTTCTATGTAGTCTTCTGGGTTGATCGAATGAGTATAATTCACTTGCAGGAGCG